AAAATACATGGGAGTATAAATTTACTCAAGGAGTGACTCTGTTGTCACTTAGTGGTGTAAATGTGTCGAGCATAGCTTGACTTAGCTCGATCGAGCCCAGCTCGACCCGTTATCTTATCAAGTTTATTGTAAGAATATTGGTTGGGTATAGTCCGACAAACTTAAGTGTTTTTTAGAAGATGTTTTTGTTAGGCAAGCAAAATAAATTAAAGAGAAGTTTTCTATTTATTTACTTTGAATTGATTAAGTTCCTTGTATTTATTCATAATAATATATGGTATATATATATATATTATAGTGTCTATTATGCACTACAAGAAAATGATAAAATTCCAACGGAGATATATTCAAATAGAATTCTACGGAAATCCTAATGGATATTTTTCAATTGTATTACTTCCGTTGAAATTTTCCAATGGATTGCAACGAAAATTTGAGTTTTCCATTGTAATTTTCGTTGAATTTTGAGGATTACAACGGTAGATTTTCCAACGGGGTAAAAATTCCAACGGAAACTGCATATTCCAATGAAAATTGATTCGGTAAAAAATCGTTGGAAATATAGTCGCTGGAATCATTAAATTTCATCTAAAATTTCAATGAAAAAAACACATTCCAACGAAATATTTTCGTTAGAATTTCTGTTAGAATCATTCCAATGGAAGCTATACCATTGTAATATCCGTTGAAATTCCATTGGAATATATTAACATAGAATTTTTCGTTAGAATATAACCATTTTTTTGTAGTGATGGAGTCCTAAACCTTTAAGAGAATGATTACATAATATATATTTTACATATTTACTTACCATATATGTCACATGCATGCATTAAAGAGTTTGATTCTATATCATCATAATTAGTTTTCTCTCTCTTTTGTAGGGTAAGAAATAAGTGACACAGACTATGAAAGGATGATTCATCCACAAAAGAGAAGATCTAAAGAGGATTTGAAAAGATTCATCTTTGAGATTTGGAAGATCGACTATTTTAGGAAAGTCTCCATTTGGAAACTCAATTATGAAGATCTTCAACTCACACGAATTCTACTTGAAGAAAACTTACTTTAAATGAAGAATTTTGTCCACGTCAGAAAGGAATCAATTGAAAAGGAATTTGACTTAATGAGATACTTGTGAAGACTCATAACCTTAAGAAGATTGTATATAAGCCTACTCAAACAATCAATTGATGTGAGCTGCTGCAATAATCGAGCTCATCATTCATCAGATTTAATTGAGTGCTTGAGAGTGTTTTTTCTTTTTATTTTGTACGTCGCAGCACTTCATCGTTCTTACATTACTGAAGAATTGAGTTAGTTTTGTTTCTTCACCTTTTACGAACAATTTTAGCGCTTAAGGATTAAGTACTTCTGTAGCTGGAGGGATTCTTAGCTATAGTAAAGCCCATGTGTTTGTGATCAGGGAAGTAATTGATAGGATCGGGTATAGTGTCGAGTAAGTCCAAGTTGTACTTTGTGGGACGCAAACCGATTTATTAATGAAAGAGCTTGAGGTGTAGTGGGACGCTCCCCGAAGGCATATATTTTTATATATCTTCTGCTTTTAATTTTATTTTTATTTTTCTGTGTTGCAACACAGTCTGTGTTTTCTATACATTGTTGTTGCAACATCATATTGCGTACATTATACTCCTCCACCCTCGTTTCACTCATAATCGAGCTCGAGTTATGCTCGTTTACTAATATCAACGAGTTGAACTCGAATCGTAACGAGTTAGAATCATTTTTTAAATAGCCGAACTACAAAAACTACATAAAAAAAATTATTTTTTCGAGCCTATTCGACCCGAACCGAGCTTGTAACCAAATGAGCTCGAGCTCGAACTTTAACAAGGCGAGCCATGCTCACGAGCAACTTGTTTGATTTAACAGCTCTATTGTCAGTAAAGCCTAAAGGTTATACAACTAAAATTTTATACATATATCGATACTTCAATATCATACTTTAAATTTAACATAAACAACAATATGACATTTAATAGTATAGATATAAATTCCGTTAAAAATGTACGATGAGTCGACCTGTAATATTTCGCCACATCACAACACAATTCATGTTACTCAAATACCCCTTCCTTCGTCACAAATTCTTTTCACGGGCTCAAACCCTTCTCCTATACTATATTCCCTCAATAGCCTCTATATTACAATCTATTCTTTTGCTTAGGTCTCGATTTCCTCGGGTTCTTTATCTCCACCAATTTACAAATATTCTTTTCAATTTTCAATTATACCTTCTTTTTTTTTTTTTTTAAGACCAAAACAAACAATATTCACCATTACACTTTCTCCTTTCATTTAAAGCCAAACCCTTCAATTTTTTCCCTACAAAACTCTCCCAACTTTACTCAAAATTTTCCTTTCAAAGCTTCTCAAGAATCTATTCCATCTTTCCCCCACATAATAAAAGTCTAAGCAAAAAAAAAAAGGAAACCAAGCAAAACCCTTTTCATATTCCTTCACTTACTATTTATACACACTTCCAAACATTCTTGATCTTAATTTAAGACCAAAAAAACAATAGAAAACTAGAAGAAAAAAAAAATGGGTTTCTCAGAGGCATTTCATCAAACAGATACGGTGGGCTCTGAAAGTTGGGTTTTTTCTGCACTCAGAGGTCCTCTGAAGCCCGTCTTGACGAAAATGCCGCCGGAGAAAAGTGTTGCCGCCTGTGAAGGAGATGATGAGCTGGCGACGACCCCAAAATCCGAGGAATCGAGGATTCCGAGGAGTTTGATCTGCCCGCCGGCTCCGAAAAAACGAAAATCGGCTCCCTCGAAGAAGTCGTGTCGGGTTAGGGAGTTTTTTAATCCGCCGGATTTGGAGTCGATCTTCATACGCCGTGTCGAGGGAGCTCGATTTTGAAGAAAAATGGAAGCTTAGTTTACTTGGTTAGAAATAGTTGAAAAATGGTAATTTCTATAATATTATTGTGTTTCTTGTTCATTTTTTTAGTTATGCCTTTTTTTTTTTTTTTTTTTTT